ACATAAACGAGCACAACAAGCGTAGTCTTCTAAAGCGAGCTAATGTGGTAGATAGGCATGTAGATTCAGCTTGTTTTGTCTTTTTCTCGCTTTCTTCATTTTTTTTATCTTGTCTCGAAATCGGTAAAGGAGCGACGGTAAGGACAACGTGTCCCTGTCATTCTGTCCATTCTGTCCATTCTGTCCATTCTGTCCAACTTGTCAAAATAAGGATTAAGAATCTTGGGGATTCACGATTTCATGTCACGTGATTATCTTTCGAATTCGTTTTGAATGTCGCAGTAGGCACATGTATCGCTTCTCCTGTGAATAAAGGGAATATGATATTCTGACTTCGAAAGATGTACGAAAGTTTAGAGAGAGAGGGAGCAGGAAAGCTGTCCAAATATAAATTCTACCTATAAAGAATAATTACAGCGTAGCATTCATTTATTGTTTATGTTTATATATTTTATTTGATACATTTATTATTAATACATTTGTTCTGGATAATGAGAATATTTTCTTTATTGTAGATAAATTGTTCTTTATTTGTAGATAAGTGTTTTAGAAAATCTATATATAAATAAATAAAATAATATTGTTTAAAAACCTATTAAATTTTATATAGAAGCAAATTTTATTTTATGTAATTACAAATTTGAAATCTTTCTTAATTTTAATGATTTGATGAATTTTTCCATTATCATATAAGATTCTGAAAAATAACTTAAATTCTATTACTTTTTCTAGTGAAAATTATTCGAAGTGAAAGAGTTAAATATGGATACGAAATCTATAAGCTTATAAATAAAAGTTGCAGTAATGCTATCGTCGCTAAATAATAAGAAAAAGTTTCATTTGTAACAGAATTCATAAACTAGACAGTTATTTATCGTTAATTAAAACTAATATAAATTGTTTCTGTGCTTTCGCATTTAATAATAGTTCCTTCTTCCGAGACTTTGTTATCAGGAAAAAACTTAAAATATAAATTGCAAAAAATTTTATACGCGCACCTTTATCCTTTTTCATCGAATTCGCGGTTCAATTAATTAAAAATATTTGATCACGGCTTGGCATGCGCGGTTGGCAAAACAATATGGTTCGGTTTAATTCAATTTGCATGCGTCTGGCGTTGTCATTTTGGTACGTGTCGATGAAATATCGAGTGCCTTATGTAGTTGATTACAAAATAGATAGATATAATTACTGTCATCGCGTGTTTGCGTTGTTTTTATACTTTTGACATATTTTGTAATAGTTTTACGCGACACGATGATAAATACGCGGATTTAGTACGCATCTGATATTTTTATGCAGAATCGAGAGAATGCGATGAAATTTATAAAAAAAGCATAAGAAGCATTCAATATTTATCAATATTTATCTTCATGATAATTTTATAATAGGGACAATTTTCTCCTCCCATCTCTCTCTCTCTCTCTCTCTCTCCTCTCTCTCTCTCTCTCTCTCTCTCTCTCTCTCTCTCTCTCTCTCTCTCTCTCTCTCTCTCTCTCTCTCTCTCTTCCCCTCCCCCCCCCTTCCTTCTTTCCCTCTCAAATTTTTTCGTTATTTACAGACACATATATATCTCTCATCGACGTGAAGATTTACGCTTTTAATAAGACGTATGACACACAGATACAGATCCCACGCATCCTTTTCCTTAGCCGATCATCGCCGCCTCGCTGCCACGAGAACCTCTCGGCGTGATTTCGTCATCGATTCTTCACGCTTCGTAGATACGGCACTGGCGTTATCCTCCTTCCTGTCCCCTCTTCCAAGGATCCCCCTCCGCAAATGCATTAGCGGCGAGAGAGCTTTTAGTGACGTCACCCACATACAGATACGCACGCATGCACGCGTCACGCGCTCTCGCTACGCACACGCACGCACGTGCACACGATGACAGACACACAGCACTCGCGCGGATAGAATTCGGGTTGTACGTACGGTGAAAGGAGAGTCCATCCGCGGGAGAATGTGCGTCAAGTACTTCTGTTTCCACTTCCATCAAGTCCCCGGTTTCGAGGACCCGGTCCTAATCTTTTGTCTCGTGCTCCTCCTTTCCTCCTGTCCTGTTGGCACTTTTTTAACGACCTCTTCGCACGTGTAGAATTCATTCTAGAATTCGAAGTGCGTGCTGCAATTTTCCTACCGCGGCCGAAACGACGATTCACGAAATTTTATGATTTTATGAAATCACTCAATGACGGATATTCAAACCTCTTTGCCGCATGAAGGAAAGCTCGCTTGTAAAAATACACCGAAAGAACGCTTCTGCTGAAAGATGTAAAGATTTGATTAAATACAAATCTGAAAATAATTATGTTGTAAGACAAGTTGATGGTTGGAAAAATGTAATCAAAAATTTTTCTAGTGTTACGTTCAAGTGTCCTACATAATTATTTTGATGGACCGCCAAAATAATTTTCAAATTTATTTAGCCGAATTTTTAAATACTTGAAGCAAAATCGTTTTTTCCATGTATGGTAAATTTAATAATAATAATAATAATAATAATAATAATAATAATAATAATAATATTTCTTTTCCTTGCCCAATGCATTGATAAAATGCATTTCATTGTTATTTGGTATATTTTTGGTATATTTTTTCTATATACTCTGGTTAATAACAGCATAATAATACAAGATAATACAATATAGTCGAAAGGCACGTGCTCGTTTTATAATCATCTTATAATAACCGTTGAAATTCCGTTTGGTTTAAGCGGATATTCGGAAGAAATTCACCTGTTTTATACAGCATACACCTGTTTTGCCTTTATTGCTCATTCGTTCGTACAGATAATCATCGTGCGCGGCTTTGTTTATCGTTAGATCGTTCGGTATTATTATGGCCAAGCTTGTCTCTTGGACCATACGATACTCGGGATTCTCGAGAAAATGGAGAAGCGAGGGAGTCACCTCGTTACTAAATGGACCAGAAAAAGACGTTGTCGTAAAACGCGATAAAAACTCTCGCCGAATTAAAAATTCAGCGATAAATGGAGATTAGACTCTCCATTGGACTGGTCGGGTTCTCTCGCGTTATCTTTATAACCGCTTGTATCGCCGTGTTTCCCGATGTATACGCGTTTTGGTGCGGTTGAGGTGCGCGATCGGAACGGGAATTCGCTGAATTCGACGTGGACAAGTTGTATATTATAGATTGAAAAGAAATTTATGAAACCGCCAATTTCACCAATTTCTTTTTCGTTTCGATACGTATATCGTCGCGTTTCGTTGGGATCATTCGTTTTCATGTCACTTTCTTTCGAAGTCGAGTCTCCGAGTCTCCGAAATATTACTTTTCTTTTATATGGAAATTGAGATTCTATTTTGCCTCTAAAAATAATAAATAGCGAATAGCAATGACTGAATTTACTACTTTGAAGTTGGAAGAGAAGAGTTCTCTCTCGCTTGCCTTCGATAGAACTTTGCGACTTTGCGAATAGGAAGGCTGTAGGCTGTTATCAAAAGGGATTGATATGCTCGTGCAAAGTAAATCAAGTCAAAATAAATGTAAAAATTCTAAAAGTAAAAATTCTATCGAGATCGACAATGGGAGAAAAAATTCCGATTCGAGTTTCAGTACCTGACAGATTGCGGCGCGTCTCATCTAAGATAAGGATAAGAGTGGTGGTTTTCTAATCGATCCAAAATGTTGAAGAAAATCGAGATAAAGGCTCGCTTTAATTCATTCGACCCCCGCTGGAGTCGAGACAAACTTTCCGATCTGGACCATTACGCAAAGAGACGAATCACGCTAAGGGGTTCGCCAATTCCCCGCGAATGTTTCCCAATCTAGTCCGTCGGCCAAACAAATCTACAGCTATACCGTAAATCGGACGCTCTTTCCCGTGCGATTTACGGGATACGGAATGTAGCTGTGTCCCTTCGAAAATTCATGTATGTATTTATGCGTGACTGCGTCCCAGTCGCGATGAGCGCGGCAAACGATTTCTCGATGACTGCAAACTGTATTCGTTGACCGTAAAATAAAAAGAGGGGAAAATATAATACGTTCGTATCGTTGTGAGTCAAACGAATTAAATTATTTTTCGAATGATACGTAGATTGATAAAGTAAAGAAGATACGTAACGATTTATAGTTAAACGCTAGTCACGTTGTTTGTTAAACGCAAAGTGCAAAACGTACGTGTGAAAAATATACGTGCGATGACGTGCTACAGAGCGCGCACGCACGTGCTGTCAGTCACGAATCTCCTTTATTTTTCAATTTCAACGTATATATTTTCGTATATATTTTAAGTTTAACATACCCCCCCCCCCCCATCGAGGAAAAAATGTAAATTTACAATGTTTGTTATATCGGCGATAAATATAAATATAAATATAAATATAAATATAAATATACGTTTAGCAAACTTTCTGCTTTTGGCGATCTGTCGTGTAACAATTGCGGGAGAAAGCGGGAACGATAAATGCGGATAAAATGTGAAATATGAATGCGAGCATATACGCGTGTTAATTTATTATAGAACGCTATTATATTTTATCAACTCTGAGATTCTCATAGAATCTTCTCTAAGATTTTCCTCTCATCGGTTCGCTCTTTCCCTGACGCTCGGTTTGGAAAGAACTGGATTAACATAAAAGCATCTCCCGTTTATGGTCGTACATATCCCGATATATGTGTGTTCCTCGAATTTTCAATGTTTGTGCTGGCGTCTTGTTTTCAGTCGCTCCGTATCGAGGAGTCGTGGCAGCTCTTTTTTTTCTCTCTCTCTCTGGGATGGGATTGAATTTGTCAAGGCAGTGGTCAAACCACTTTTTAATGTTTCGTAGGAGATTATTTCGCTACCTCTTATGAGCGGCTGGTTCGTAACATTATCTCTTCCATCCCAAGTCCCAAGCCAGGCGCAACAATAGTTCTTAAAAGATTACGTGTACGTTTTCTGCCTTGTGTTGTCTGCCACGATATCGTGAATCTCTCAAAAATCAATAACAAACCGATGCTTAGGGTCGTTGTTGAAGTACTCAAAAGTGGTACTTGGATTTATGTTATACTCTCTCATAAAAGTTATAAAAAATATCGTAAAAAAGAAATTGTTTAACGCAAATGAGAATTTTACAAACGAGCGAGAATTTTCAAATCAAAGGATCAATAAAAAATTTTCATCTGCGTAAACATTTGAGAAATCGTAGATCATAGCAGTTGATTTCATTTTTAATCGATTGAAATCTAAGTTTAAGTCTTTCGACCTGCGACCTGCGGTATATTCGTTTGCGATATATTCATGGCGGTCTAGAAGTTAAATAAAAGTGGACAAACGTGTAGTATACGACTTTTCGATAGAATTCCTCGAACGGCTTATCGAGACCGAGGCTAAACCGTTTAGGACCCATATTCCTGTCTTCGGAATCCTTATCGAAACCCTTTGACTCGTTACTACTAATTTAGCGTTCCGAATACTACGTGTACTATCCAACAAACTTGCTCGGTCTACAACGGGTCTGTAACAATGACTCGATGTAGGGAGGAATTCTCCTCAAAAATTTGAAAAATATGCTACAATTTCTTTAATTTCTTCAGCCACAGTGATGTAAGAAATTTACTGACACGTTCTTGCGAGATATATATATATATATATATATAATAAAATGACTTGTTTATCGGTGCTTTCTTCCATCTCGTTCACGTTCACGAAAGTCTTTAATATAATTTAAAATTTGTTTAAGTGGCAGGCACATTTGGCATGTCGATATGATCGAGATGAGTCCTTTTCCCCCCCTTTTTTTTCTTTTTCTCTTTCTTTTCGATAAACCTTTCGTCATTTTAATTGCGACGCGTAATCGTATATGCGGTCTAATGGATTCTAGCTCTCACATTTCTCGCTGTATCTTAGATACCCTACCCCATTTTCATTTGCTACGATTCTCTTTTTCAGTACAAAATACAAATACATACGTCTCTTGTTGGTCACAAATCTTTCTCTTCAGATTTTGAATAAATGTTAATAATTCTGATGCATGTGTTTGTTTGTTTTCGACAATATTTTGATTTGAATAGAGATGATGATAGAAGAAGACAGAGTATAAGATGGAAACAGAATTGGAGAGAATGTTGAAGATACTCTTGCGATTTTGCTTCTCTTTGCGCATTTAACATCGCGATTTATTCCAGAATTGTGATTATTTGCAACGAGACGCAAAAATTTCTTTAAGAGTCTTTCAACATCCTCTCTTCTTATAATCGATATCGAGTGTACAATTCCATGTTGTAAAAACATCTAAAAATATTGGATTAAGAAGTAGAAAATAAAAATGTCATATAAATACGCCATTGTTTCTCACGTTTTGTAGATTTGTAGAATGTTTTCGTAAAGGTGTTAAATTTTTTCGTTACTATTGCGTTTCTCTTCCTCTCGGCAGATTCTGACTAGTCTCGACGACCACGCTCAGACTCAGGATGTATCCGCCAATTCAACCGGAAATGGTACGGTAGCCGCCAACGCGACGCAATTGCTGTACAGCCTGATCCCTGAAGAGCCCTTTGAGAAAATAGCCTTGCAGACTCGTGTTCAAGATATTGCCGGGTAAGTCTCTCAAACGCTCAATTTATGACTATAGTCTTATACTACGTGATCTTGAAACTCCGATATTGACGTTGCGTAAGAACCCAATCCTTTTAAATGATAATAACCTTTTTATTAGCGCATATATTTGTGATGAAAGTGCTGAATGTCGTGGAAGAATTACATTACTTTGCATTACGGCTCGAATTTATTGATTTATTTAATTTTAATATTTCTAATATTTCATAATTTTGTGATCTGTTTTGCATTCCAATATAAAAAATGTCTCCACGTGATTTTTGTCCACGTGATTTTTTTTTTTTTCATAAAGAAAGAAGAAAGAAATTTTTTTTTGTAATGTTTATCTATTTTTAAAATATTTATTTTTCTAATTTAAAAGTTCCAAAATTAATTTAAAAGTTTTTTATTAATTTTAAAAATTGCTGCTAACGCTCATGCAATATTTATTAATTATTCATGTAATTTTTAAAAAATATTGTTACTAAATTGAAATCTATTTTTAATTAAAAACTGTGTTTTAAACATATTTTAAACATATTAGTGACACATTGCGTGCAACATCCAAATAATTTGGTATTCGTTAGCACAAATACTAAATATTTAATTCATAAATAACCATTTTATTATATTGTTGTTGTTATTACTGTTGTTAAATATTCTATAAAAATTATAATCTTACGATATCTCGAAAAATTTATAAAAAAAAAATCGCATATGTAGACTTGATACTTCGACAAACAATTTATATGTTTGTAATTCAAAAAGACAACGCTAATAATTGCACTATGAAGAATAGGTACTCGATTATTAGTTAAAAATGGCGGACCATTAAAATTAATCTCGATAGACGAACGAAGTATTATTTCACTGATTAGGATAATCGAGATATAATTAGCAGTGTTCCACTTCTTTCTGGATGATACGAACGCTCTACGTAATGGCGAGCAATCATCTACAATGAAATCGTAACTTTTGTAACGTGTCTTTACGTATCTTCCCATATCTTTTTTATAGAATTCTTCGATAAAAGAGCTAAAGCCGCTAAAGTGGTATTTTTAATGAAAAAAAGGAATATTATTGAAAAAAATGACGACAAAAACGTAGAGCATTTTTAAAGAGAGAATAATGGTGACGAGCGATATCACAAATTTCGCGAAACGTAAGAAATGTGCGAAAAAAGTTTCACGTTTGCTCGTTTTCTTTATCTCCTCCGTTTTTCGTCGATCGACGATGAATCTTCGTCTTTTTCATCAAAGTTGTTAACGACCGACGGGTTTTCACTGGGCATTTTATACGCACTTGCTCGCTCGCGAACGCTGCTCTCGTCCGAAATCCGCATCTTTGATCTGAGGTTGAGTGATTCGTTGCGCAAACACATCGTTTAAGACGACGTACTCCTTTGAATGGTACAAAAGAATACTCGGCGTGTGCTTTTCGAGGCATCCTGACCGGACCACCCTGTCTGAAAATATAACCGCGTTGTGTCGCGCCAATACCGAACTTAATACGCGAGTCACACGAAGTGACGAGACGCAGACTGTGTTTTCGTTGCATCTCGCGCGAGATCCGATCTTTGCCGGAGTGACGTTTCGCACCTGGGTCAACTTCCTCCGCGAGGACCCCCCAAAACGCCGGTTTAACCCCTTTGCGCTTCTCCGCCGTCTTCTTTTATCTTTTCGTCGGAGGAAAGAACGTTACGCGTCGAGCGCGTCATCGCATGATTAATAAAATCAGGAAAAATATTTCTCTAGATATCTCAGAATACATCGGAGAAGAGGAATTTTTACGTCGAGAGAGAGATTTTATGTAATGAAGTAAATTTTAGTCGAAATCGCGCTCTACTTGACCAAAGTAACAGTCGAATAGTTTTTATATATATATATATATATATATATATATATATAGATAGTAGTTTGAATTATCTTGATTTTACCAAGATGGAAAGGAGCGCTCTTTATGATGAAAAAAATCGCACGTTTAAAGTTACGCAATAATTCCCGTTAGTATGTGAGATAGTATCGCGTAACAAAAAAAATCCTAGATTCACCGTCTTCCTCTGGCGTACTTTACAGTTGGGTGAATCTGCGAATTTCACCTTCACCAAATGTACCGTCTGGCCTTGTATAATGAATGACGAAGGTGCGATCAGAATTATTGTCGACCGCGCGCACCGGTAGTGGGATTATTATGATTAATTTCCTGCCGATGTGCGAGAAAGGCCTAGTCACGATTTTTACTCAGCGGCGAGGTTGCTTTTCGCTCGTGTCTTTAAAGTGCGCAGATGTGTAACGGCGATCGATCATTTTGTACGTCGTAATACTTATTTGACGGTCGTTAAGTGCACTCGCCGTCACTTCTTCTCTGAAAAATAATGCGCCATCTTTTTTGCATACTGGTACCGATTTTTCCTTCCACTCGGTACCGAGTAATGTACGACGACTCGTAATGTTTCCCGATGTTCCCGATTTCGAGGAAGAAGAGTAATTTTACAGCGAGCGGTATGAATGATGGACGATGATCACTTACACTTACACGGTCCAAATTCGAGGATTCCTATTGGATTCGTACTAGATAACCTTATCAAATAATAATTCGATGACATTGTAAATGTCGGCGTGTTAATAAGTCATGGTAACGTCATGATGGTAACGATATGCGAATATCACATCTGTTTGTACGTAAACAGCCAAAAGTAATAATACGATATTTATATAACTCTTCTTCGCCTCTTTCGGCTTAGCAAATTATTTGTATTTTGTATATAAATTTTCAATTGATATTAATTATTATAAAGTATCAAATATCAAATACATGTTTGCTTAGATTTCTTTCTATATGTTTTTTAATAAGTAAAGAGATCTTTTTGAATATGATTCTCCCTGGCGATATAAATTTTTGATATGACATAGAAAATATATAATTATCATTAGGTTTTATCGATGCACGCGTCAGTATCTCTTAAACTTTTTGATAGTATATGAATGGCTTTATAAAGTAACAGATGCGCCATACAAAGATAAGCAGATAAAAAATGCGTATGTTTGCCTATCAACTTTTATCCGCGTTAGTCCGCGTATCTCTCCGTGATCTTTTAGCAAAGAGGTGCCGATGGTGGCGGCTCTACCAAGGATCATTTCCCCTGTTTCCCTTCTTTTTCTTTAATGTCAACAATGTCAAAGACAAATGAGCTTTTTGTCGTAAAATACATCCCTGGATCATAGAGAATCGCGTCCCGCTGCTGTTTCTACGTGTGGTGTGTATGCGTGTGCGTGTGTGTGTGCGTGCGTGCGTGCGTGCGTGTGTGTGTGTGTGTGTGTGTGTGTGTGTGTGTGTGTGTGTGTGTGTGTGTGTGTGTGTGTGTAGTATAACACGAACTACACTAATAAACAAATAACGCATATCGGTATACACTTCCACTATTTTTAAAAAAATAATACATTAGTTTTCAAGAAAATTTGATAAAAAGGTGAACATTCACGCTTACTATTATACTTATCGTTATTTATTTATGTATATATATATGTTTATATATTTTGTTATGTTTTTACTTTAACAACGTGAAAAATATATTTACGGAGAATATGTCAAAAATATTTATGGAGAATATATTAAAAGTTATCACGGGCAAGAAATAAATAAACGAATAATTATAAAGGCAATCAATGATCGACTCGGTGTCGATCGGAACTCGAGCTGCTGAACCGTCGGCTGTAATTGGTAGAGAAGAAGCGCCATAGAAAAATCAAGTTCGCAAACACTTTTACCGCTAATCTCGATAGGCCAGAAGGAGGAACTCGTCTCGCACTAAGATCTATGCTATCTTTCAATCGGGACGAATCAAGCGAATAATTCGCGAGCAAACGATGCCCCAAGCACTTGGCCAAATCCTATCCGCTCTTACTTTTTTGTTCGTACGATTTCGATGAAAGCACAAATAAAATTAACTAAACTCATAGCTGCGCGAGTATTAATTATTCTATGGCTGACATCAGAAAAATACAATATACTTTTTGTAAATTTTACAATTGAGAAACACTGCTTTTCGATTATTTTTTTTTCCTTTTTTGCATTATAAAGAATCGAAAGTAGCTTGAATGTTCTTTTTATGTATTATTATCAATGTTAATTAAAATTTAAGAAGAGATATAATACATGTTGAAATCAATTCTATATATAAACTGTTATTTTTATTTTTTATAATTTTTAACATTGACTATTTTAATATCCAAGCTTTAGCATTGACTTTTAAACTTTTGTCTGTAAAGAATTACTCAAAATATCGCAATCGTATTATTGCAAATTTTGTGTATGCGATTTAAAAGAAAAATCGTGTCTACTACTTGGAAAAATCTGAAAAACCTTGAATTCTTAAAAAATTTGTTTATGTCTTGAAAAATCAGAGAATACACAATAACACTTTTTATTAATAAACATAGTAAGATTAAACATATAATTTGCGCACTGTTTACAGCGCTGATTGTCATGAGTCTTATTATTATTGTCTTATTATTATTAAATATATAATACATTAACAACACTTTCATTACTTTTTTATCTGAAATGTTTAATAAATTGTTTTGAAAATCAGAGAATTCTCAGGGAATTTTTGTCGGGTAGACAAAATCTTTAGAGAACAATTCGATGTTTTAAACTTTCAGTAATAAAGACATTGAATGCTAGCCGATATGAATACAATACGACGGTGAAATACGACGTGAAAATTGTTCGATTTGAAAATTGTTATATGCTTCTTAAAATATCTATCTTCCCTCAGTGCACCCGAGATAAATCACAGTTTGCATTGGTTAATTGGAAACGGATGTAGAAGGAACACGATGCGATCTCGCTTTTTGTTTCTCTTCGCGGCACGAGGATTAAATGGGCTTTTGATCAGCTTGTCGACGAGTCCACGAGTCTAAATTTTCCTTGGCCCGCCCGCGGCTTTCCGTTTCTCGTGTCCCCCGTTTATTGTTGTAAAGAATTAAAGGACTACGTCTTAA